ATGTTTGTGTGTTTTATGGTCAACCATGGACAGCTGAACATAGTGTGAATTTTTAGAAATTTTGGCCAACATTGACTTGTTGACCACTTCGTGCTTACAACACATGAACCATGTGTAACATGCATTGCCAGTTTTGTGTTTGTTTTTGCTTTTGGTTTTTGTAATAGGTTTTTGTTGTTGGTCATACTCGAGATACGGGATTCTTTCTGATCCGTAACTCACGCGGCACGTGGTTCTTGAACCATCTGCAACACACATTTAAGATTCTATGAAACAAGGCGAAGGGGCACCGGAAGCAAACAAGCAACGAATTGCCTGCCACTCACTTTATCATCCAACCTGACATACATCCAAATCCAGACAGGCTTTCATTGTTGCGTTTGCGGTTGGGGTCCAAGAAGAAGCTGCAAAATCGCGTTTCTGCGCCCTCGCGTTTGCGAAGTCGCTCGGATGAGTAACGACAAACAACGCTAGCGACTGTAATCCGAGACGCCATCTACACTGTATAGTAAACCGTTTGATATATGACTAATCATCAATGGCAATCTTCTGCACGCGAACGAAAACGCCCAAAACCACTTACTCGTTACAGATTGGGACCACAACTGCGTCAAGATCCAGGACCTTGATTGCAGGTTCTGGCCCATCACCCCTCGATGAAGTGATCTGGCAGTACTCTTTGTAGGTTAGAATACGCACGTTCACATTATGCTTACTCTCACACACCAATCTGCCAAATACAATTCAAAACTTCAGACACAACATTGTAACTCAATCTGCTGAACCGTCATCTACGTACAACAGACCCATCTCGAGTGTAACCAGGTTGAGCTCGTTCAGCGCGCTCCACATCCCCGTTGGCATACACTCCGCGAACTTCAGATCGTTCAACCAGGCATTGACGTCCTCCGTATTCATGCCGTATGAAAGCAAGTCTGTATCTTGAAAGTAGGCCTTCAAGCATAACGCGACCGTGAAGTTGCGATTATGTTCGTTTTTGTGGAGTCCCATGTTGCACTTTCTACCTCCCACAATCTGCTCCGAACAGAATAGATCGCCCCGCATGCCCCTGGTTCGTGTGAAGAAACCTGTAGTTCTGAATGGCCTGGCCACTCCATGTATCTTTCCCAGCGCGTTGACCTGAGCTGCCATTCATGACGCAATAGTTTGCATACAGAGTACCAATCACTTGGTGGCTTCAACGATACAATCAAGAATCACGTGCACGGCCATGTTGAAGTACTGGGTTTTTTAATGTACTGGATTTATATGGGCATGATGCCTTCGTAATCTCCGAATGGAAGCATGTCACGCCTTCGTGCTCTTCGATTGGACACTCGGCATCGAGACATGTGGGTTGTGGGAATATACCATGTAACGTCCTAATGTGTAACCATGCTATTGTAATGATGCTAAGTGTCTCGCCACTTCTGCAAAGTTCGCGACTCCAAGCAATGGAAGCGCGGTGTACTGCAGGGATCCACAATTTGCGCAAGGGGTTCAACAGCTGTGAATGTACATTTCGTGTCGAAATGAACGGACGTCACTTTTGACGAGTCCGTCCCCTACTACCCCTACTACGAGTCAGCACCCCCAGACTCCGCACCCCCAGACTCCGCACCCCCAGGCTCAGCACCCCCAGGCTCCGCACCCCCAGCAGGACGAGAGTCAACAGCTACCTCAACAGGCTCAACCGGGTCTACCTGGGACACACCTGAGGGAGCGGCACCCTGAGGGGGGAGGGGGTCTACCACAGCAGCACCTGGCGCGAGGAAGAGAGGCGGGGGGGGGAGCGGGGCAGTGCGGTAGGGGAAGAGGCGGTAGTAGGGGACGGACTCGTCAAAAGTGACGTCCTCAGAGGAAAGGACCCGGCGCGAGGTGGCGTGGTAAAACTGCCAACCAGACGCGTCAGGGACAAAGCCAAGGAAGACACAGGGAACAGCGCCTGTGGAGAGCTTGTCCGCGGACGTATCGCGGACAAAAGCTCGAGATCCCCAGACCCGGAAACGCGACGCATCGCCAACCTCCCCCGTCCACAGCAGCGTGGGCGAGGTCTCCGGCAAGGAGACACGGGGCCAGAGGTTGAGCTGATGCGCAGCGTACCGGACCGCAAACGGCCACAGAAAGTGGGGGGCAGCCGCATGGATCAAGGAGGTACGGGCGACCTCCATGACTAGGCCAATGCGGCGCTCCGCAACCCCATTCTGCTGCGGAGAGGCCGGAAGCGTGAACGACTGCTCAATGCCGTGCTCAGCACAGTAGGCTGCCAAGAGGTCGGAGGAGAACTCACCACCTCTGTCAGAGTGCAAGCGTAGGACAGGAAAGTCCGACTGGAAACGCTCGCGGAGCTGGAGACGAGCTCTGCGGATCCAAGGGATCAAAACATCAGGGACCTCACCCTTGGTGCGCAAGGGGAAGACCGTGGTGTAGCGCGAGTAGTCGTCAACAACTATCAGGAAGTACCTCTCCTGACCCTGACCACGGACGCGGGCTGGGCCCCACACGTCCATGTGGAGCGTCTGCAAGGGAGCAGTCGTCGGGGGAAACGAGGAGGAGTGAGGAGCGGCGCGCTGCCGCCCCTCGACACAGGGAAGACAGGGAGGAGCAGGCGAGGGTGGGAGGGGAGGGAGGTGTTGACCGCTATTTGGGATAGATAGGCTCCAAACACACCTTTAATTCACACTAGGTACTCCCCACGGGGTCACCTCCAAGGGTCCTTGGGTGCCTGGCAGAGCCAGCCCCTATCCAAGGGTCCGTGTTTGTAGAGGGAATTCCCTAAGTGCAAAAACAGTCGTGTGTACTAGAGCGTTCCCAACATTCGTTGCGCAGCGTTGACGACGAAACGGGCTCGTGTGCAGAATAACTCTTCACGTCAATACGTTGATAGAGCACGTTAACTCGTGAGAGAGATTCAGAAAATATTTCCACTAGAAAGGATTGTCACAAACAAGCACAAGCAAGCATTTTATATTTCGTCCAACAAACAAGCAGAGGGAAATAGCAAAGCAGTTGTCAAACTGAATTTCGGATCTTCGCCATGCTGTAATCGAAAACGGTTGCTCAACTTGTTGGGCTATTGTCTTCTTTCTCCTCTTGTAAAAACCTGTACTCAAATTTCACTTAGGACAATTTCCCCTGCTGACTCCTCGCATGAGCACTCATAACTTCCATGTGCCTCCAATGTGACTCACATGAGTTCCATGCGAGTTTACGGTTATAAAACGGATTCAACCGTTGGACGACGCGAGTAACCGAATTGTACCTGTGGCGAAATCATTCCGCAATACAGAGTGACTTTCGTGCGCAATTTCTTGTTCCACGAGTCAACTCCGAAAACAGTTTTTCAACTGTAATTTCCGAGCACCCTTCGGAATCTTGTAGCACCCCTCGAAACACATGCGCACCCCTCATGTGCACAATCATGCACGACCAGACAAACTGGTCGTGCTGTACAGCGCAAAAACGTGCGCTGTACTGCGCATGGACTGGGCGATCATTCGCCCTGTCTTGTTGCGATCGTGGGCCCTGCCACGCTCGCAACAGTGCGCAAGCACACGCTCGAGCCCTGAGGGCCCATACGCGAAATCGGGACCACACGCGCGGTCAAGATTTCGCGTGCTTGACCAGCGCGAAAGTCAACAGCATCCCCCTTGACTAGTCAGACTATCGAACCTCACAGAAATCACCCCACGGTACACCACTCGCTCACATGAGCCACGAATGAAACATTCGAAACAAACGGGACTTTCATGGGAAGCTCATTTCAGCCTCATTAGAGCTTCATGAGAGCTTTCATTTGAGCGCATCATGTGAGCCTCATTTGAGCACTTCATGAGAACAGTGAAAATACAAGTGCAAATGCACTAACACGAAATGCAGTTACGGATGAAAACGAAACACACAAAATGCAAAAACAAATGCACACTGAACACACACAAAAATGTGCACACACAAAATGCAAAATGAAATGCACATCTTCCACGTCACAAATTACCTTCAACCAAACACCCCATTTTTATTTCACTGTCGTCGAATAGGCGGTAGGTTGACGTGCAAATTAAATATTTGCACCCAACAGGAGGACCCTGGGAAGACCAGAGACAAGGTACGTGGAGTGCATGGCACGAAGGCGCTGCACAGACGGGTGGCCAAGTCGGTGGTGCCAGAGGACAGTCTCGTGCGCCAGAGAGCGACACGAGCAGGGGGCCGACAGCTGACCTGACGCAGACGCAGACGCAGACGCAGCGACCTGAGGGGACTCAGTGGTCAGTGTGTACAGGTCCGACCCCGGCTGCCTAGTGAAGGTAGCCAAGTGGCGGCCCGTACGAGCACACGTGCAGTGTGTCACGCGCTCGTAGGCAGGGGTGAACTGGTGAACACCCGCGTCCTGGAGCGCACACCCTGCCACCAGGTTCGTAGAGAACGAGGGGAGGTGGAGACCTGACAGTGTGCCTGACGGGACCGCAGGACAGGGAAGGACAGTGGAGGAGGTCGCAACTATCGGGCCCCCAGAGGGGTCAGCGAGGGAGACAGCAACTGGCCGAGCAAGCGGCTCAAGGACAGTGCGGTCACGAAAGAAGCAGCGAGAAGCACCTGAGTCCAGTGTGAAGGTGTGTAGTGCCTCAGTCGACTCAGTACCAGGGGGCGCAGACGCACAAGCACCTAGAGCAGCAGCCTCACCAGCACCTGAGGTAGCAGACACGCGAGGACCTGAAGCGGCAGACGCACTGGTCCTAATGCCCGGGTCGGGCGGAACACACAGGTACTCAGCACCCTCTCCACTAGTAGACATCACATACATGGCAGTGAGAATAGCATCAAAGTCTAGAGCATAGATATCAATCCCCTTCTTCAGGAGATCAACCCAGCGGGGCAGCTCAGTGGCCTGAGGGAACTGAACACGCCAAGCGTCGTTGAGGCGGGCGAAGCAGCGCTGCGTAGCGTGTGGTCCCCCACACGGCTGACCAGTGCGGTCACCAGTGCGAATGACGTACGTGCAGCTAAAGCCCCCCCCCCCCCCCCCCCCCCCCGTGCTGAGAGTACCACTCACGGACCTCCTGGGGCGACGGAGTGTGCTGCTGGCTCTGGCCACCGCCAGCGCCTCCACGACCACCACCTCCGCCCCCACCTCCTCGACCACCCCAACCCCTGCCGCCGCCGCGTCCACCGCCACCCCCACCACCGCCCCCGCCTCTGCCACCTCCCCCGCCGCCGCCGCCACCACCCCCACCGCTGCCACTCGCCCCTCCAGCCCTGCCACCACCCCCACCGCCGCCATCGCCCCCACCACCCCCTCCCCCGCCGTCACCTCCGCCTCCCTTGCCCCCTTTGCCCTTGCCGCTGCGGCGTCCGCTCGAAGCAGACGCAGACCCAACCTTCTCAGCACCAAGGAGGTCGACAGCAGCAGCAGAGGCGACAGAGGGAAGAAGGGGGGAAGGAGAACACCCCTCAAAGAACGGGGTGCGGGGGTCGCCACGAGAGGCACCTACAGCGACTATGCTAGCCTCAGCTGCAAGTAGTTCCTTCTCGAGGAGGGCAATGGTGAGCTCAGTAGGGCAGCGAGCTAGGAAGGAATCCCTGACTGCACGCAGAGAGTCAGGGAGGCGGGTGACTAGGTGGTAGAGAGTGAGCCAGAGCGGGGGGGGGTTCTTGGCAAGGAACTCATCAGGCATAGCGGCGCGGAAGCGAGCCTCACTAGTGCGGAGGTGCGTGATGAGGTCAGCGACTGTGTGGAAAGAGGACAGGTCGGGGAACAGGTAGGGAAGCGAGAGACGGCCTAGTGCGGCAGAGGCAGGTGAGGAGTAGCGGGCAACGACAGCTTTGTACAGTTCCTGTGCAGTCTTGTGCTGGCCAAAGTGCTCGCGCTCATCTATCGGCAGGGAGTTGCGAATAGCAAAGCGAGCGTGGGCGTCACGAGTCTGCCACTGTGAGCGGGTAGAGCTGTCAGCAGTAGTAGCAGGTGCAGTGGCATGGCCTAGGGCGTGATCGTACAGTGAGATGTCCTCCTTGGCAGTGAGCTGTAGGAAGAGGTGCAGGTCATCTAGCCAGGTGTCAAACTTCACCGGACGTCCCTCAGCATCGAAAGCTAGCACAGGAGGGCTAGCCATAGTAGCAGTAGGAGCAGTAGCAGTAGGTGCACCCTAACAGTAGTAGGCAGCGCGACTCAGGTAGGGCGGCTCGGTCCTGAGAGGCCGGTCAGGACGGGCGGCGCGGCTCGGTTCAGGTAGGGCGGCGCGGCTCGGTTAGGGCGGCGCGGCTCGGTGTGGGCTGCGCGGATCGGTTCGGGCGGCCTGGGTTTGGCGGGGCCGTCGCTGTCGCGTGCGTGGCGGTTAGGGGCAGTGGGGGGGTCGACGGGGCCAGCGGGGCCTCTAAGGGGCGGCGCGGGGGTCGCTCAAGGGCGGCGCGCGGGGTCGACGGGGCCAGCGGGGCCTCTAAGGGGCGGCGCGCGGGGTCGACGGGGCCAGCGGGGCCTCTAAGGGGCGGCGCGCGGGGTCGACGGGGCCAGCGGGGCCTCTAAGGGGCGGCGCGCGGGGTCGACGGGGCCTCTAAGGGGCGGCGCGCGGGGCCGACGGGGCCTCTAAGGGGCTGCGACGGGGCCGTAAGGGGCCTCTAGGTGCGAGCGCGGGGCCGTAAGGGGCCTCTAGGGGGCGAACGCGGGGCCGACGGGGTCGCTAAGGGGCGGCGCGCGGGTCGCTAAGGGGCGGGTCGCGGGTCGCGGGGCCTTAGGGGGCCGTGAAAAACAAGACGCACTAGGGCGCAGGTAGGTAGGCAGGTAGGCAGTAGTGGTGGGCCCTAAAAAAACGGTCCTAGCAAAGGACCTGCTCTGAAACCATGTCGAAATGAACGGACAGGAGTGATGGAACTAGCAGTGAAATCAGTACAAGGAGTGATACAACGCCCTCCCGCCTCGCTGCCCGCTTGCAGCGTCGCCCGCCCGCCCGCTGCCCGCTTGCAGCGTCGCCCGCCCGCCCGCTGCCCGCTTCGCAGCCGCCCGCCGCGCTGCCCGCTCGCCGCGTCGCCCGCCCGCCCCGCTGCCCGCTCACTTGCAGCCCGCCCGCCGCACTTCCCGCCTGCAGCGCTGCCCGCCTCGTCTGCTGCTGCCGCTGCTCTGCTGTGCCCTCACGCCTGAGCTATGGCCTCTATTCGCGTTCTTTCCTTCGATGCTGAGGGCCGTCCCGTGCAGTTCACTTCCTGGCTCGACGACCTGCAGTTGTATCTTATGAGCAATAGCACGGACCACATCTCCCTCTATGACTACGCGTCTGGTGCTGCCGCTGCTCCTGCTGCCACAGCCGAGCTTAGTGTACGTTCACAGTGGCAGACCCGTGACGCTGCAGCTCGCCTGGCTATTCGCAGTCACCTGCCGTTACCTGAGCTAGAGCACTTTGGCGACTGCAAATCCGCTAAGGCCCTGTACGACGCTGTCGTTGCTCGCTACTCCTCACCGGCCACAGCTGAGCTTAGCCGCCTCATGCTGCCTTACCTGTTCCCTGAGCTGTCCACCTTTGCTACAGTCGCCGATCTTATCACCCACCTTCGCACTAGTGACGCTCGCCTGCGTGCCGCCCTTCCCACTGAGTTCTGCGCTAAGAACCCCCCTCCACTGTACTGGACACTCCACTTCATAGTCACCCGTCTCCCTGACACCCTCAGCTCAGTGCGCGACTATTTCCTTGCTCGCTGTCCCACTGAGCTCACTGTCGCCCTCCTAGAGGAGAAGCTGCTAGCAGCCGAGAAGAGCATTGTAGCTGTAGGTGCTGCTCGCGGCGCTCCTCGCACCCCCATCTTTGAGGGATGCTCTCCCTCTCCCCTCGCTCCCTCCTATGCTACTGCTGCTGCTGTTGACTTCCTTGGTGCTGAGACTGCTGGCGCTGCTTCTGCTCCTGGTGGGAGGCGCCGCACCGGCAAGGGCAAGGGGGGCAAGGGTGGCGGGGGTGGCGCTGGGGGGGGAGGGGGTGGGGGAGGTGGGGGGGGAGGCGGTGCTGGAGGGAGCGGTGGCGGGAGTGCCGGTGGGAGTGGGGCCGGCGGCGGAGGCGGGGGCGGCGGCGGGAGCAGTGGCGGTGGTGGCAGCGGCGGCAGTGGCGGCGGTGGCGGTAGTGGCGGTGGCGGTGGCGGTGGTGGCGGTCGGAGCGGAGGTAGTGGCGGCGGTGGAGGTCGGAGTGGAGGCACAGGCTCGGGCCAGAGCTCCCAGCAGCAGCAGCGTCCCCAGTCGACCCAGCAGCTTCGTGAGTGGCTTGCTCAGCGTGGGACGTCGGGGGGCAGTGGCCGCTGTTCCTATGTCATTCGCACAGGTGATCGCAAGGGGCAGACGTGTGGAAAGTTCCACACTCAGTACCGCTGCTTCTTCCGCCTTGACGACGCTTGGCGTGAGGAGATGGGCGAGGATGTTGAGCGCCCTCGCTGGGCTGAGCTGATGAGGGCTGGGGTTGATGTCTTTGCTCTTGACTATGATGCTATTATTGCTGCCATGTATGCATTGACTGTTAGTGCCGAGGGAGACTGTTACTTGTGTGTGCCGCCTGACCCAGGTATAGGGCCCGCTGCCCTAGGTACTAGTGAGTCTGCTCTCTCTGGTATGGTGCCCCCTGTACCTGCTCCCTCCAGCACTGTCCCTGCTGCTTGCGAGTCTGCTCTCTCAGGTACAGCACCCACAGAGACTGCTCTCTCAGGTACTGCACCGGCTGAGCCCTGTCACACCTTCACCCTTGACTCAGGTGCTTCCCGCTGCTTCTTTCGAGACAGTACTGAGCTCACACCGCTTCCTGCACCGGTCCCAGTCTCCTTGGCTGACCCCTCTGGGGGCCCGGTCCTTGCCCGGTCCACCACTGTGCTCCCTTGTCCGGCGGTTCCGTCTGGCTCGTTGACGGGTTTCCACCTCCCCTCGTTCTCGACGAACCTGGTGAGCAACGCTGTCATCCAGGATCAGTGGGTTGACACCTTTACCCCTGGAGGACAGCGTGTGGCGATCTGCACGTGCTCCAGGACCGGCCGTCACCTGGCTACGTTTACTCGTCGGCCGGGGTCGAGTCTCTACACACTGACCACTGCGTCTCCTCAGGTCGCTGCTGTCGGTCAGGTGTCCGCGTCAGGTCTGGTAGCCCACGCCTGTGAGTGTCGTTCCCTGTCGCACCAGACTCTTCTCTGGCACCACCGCCTGGGTCACCCCTCCTTGCCACGCCTCCGTGGCATGCACCGTCGCCACCTTGTGTCTGGTCTTCCCAGGTCCCTCCCTCCCCTCCCTGCCTCGCCTGCGCTGCCTTGCCTTCCTTGCGTCGAGGGGCGGCAGCGCGCCGCTCCTCACTCCTCCTCGTTCCCCCCGACAGAGGCTCCTCTGCAGACCCTCCACCTGGACGTGTGGGGCCCAGCCCGCGTTCGTGGTCAGGGCGGTGAGCGGTACTTTTTGCTGGTTGTCGACGACTACTCGCGTTACACCACGGTCTTCCCCTTGCGCACCAAGGGTGAGGTCCCTGCTGTTCTGATCCCTTGGATCCGCACAGTTCGTCTCCAGCTCCGCCGCCGTTTCCGGACGGATCTTCCTGTCCTGCGTCTGCACTCTGACAGAGGTGGTGAGTTTTCCTCCGACCTCTTGAGGACCTTCTGTCAGGCGGAGGGCATCGAGCAGACCTTCACGCTTCCGGCCTCTCCTCAGCAGAATGGGGTTGCTGAGCGCCGCATTGGCCTGGTCATGGAGGTCGCTCGTACCTCCTTGGTCCACGCGGCGGCTCCCCATTTTCTGTGGCCGTTTGCTGTCCGGTACGCCGCGCATCAGCTCAACCTCTGGCCCCGTGTCTCCTTGCCGGAGACCTCGCCCACACTGCGTTGGACGGGGGAGGTTGGCGATGCGTCGCGCTTCCGGGTGTGGGGTGCTCGTGCCCTTGTCCGCGATACGTCCGCGGACAAGCTCTCCTCCCGCACGCTTCCCTGTGTCTTCCTTGGCTTTGTCCCTGACGCGCCGGGCTGGCAGTTTTACCACCCCACGTCACCTTTGACGAGTCGGTCCCTTTTTACCGTCTCTTCCCCTACCGTACTGCCCCCCTCCCTCCCCCGCCGCTTTTCCTTGCTCCTGGTCCCCCTCCGGTAGACCCCCTTCCCCCTCAGGGTCCTGCTCCTTCAGGTGTCTCTCAGGTAGACCCTCCTCCCGTCGCTGAGCCTGTCGAGGTCACAGGTGACTCAGGTGCTGCTGCAGGTGGTGCTGCTGGGAGTGCTGAGCCTGCGGGTGCTGGGCCTGGGGGTGCTGGGACTACGGGTGCTGGAGCTGAGGGTACTGTGCCTGAGAGTTCGGCGCCTGGGGGTGCTGAGCCTGGGGGTGCTGCGACTGGGGGTCCTGAGCCGGCGTGTGCGGAGTCTGGGGGTGCTGAGCCTGGGGGTGCTGCGCCTGCGGGTACTGAGCCTGGGGGTACTGCTACTGAGCCTACGGAGCCTCGGGTTGCTGCGTCTGGGGGTGCTCCGGTTCGGGGTGCTGAGCAGTCTCTCACACCACAGCAGCTTCGTGACTGGTACGTCCGGCGCTTTCGCCGTCCTAGTGGCTCGGCTGGAGCTGGGGGTACTGGAGCTACCGGGACTGGTTGTTCTGGGCGCACTACGACTGGAGCTGCTGGAGCTGGGGACTCTGGAGCTGGCGGCGCTAGCGGAGTTGTAGCTGCCGACCCTGGGGGTGCTGCTACTGCTGGTGCTGCGGACCCACCCGGACGGTGGAGCTGCTGCTGGAGCTGAGGACCCGAGCGGTGGCGCTGCTGCTGGTGCTGGGGACCCGGACGCTGGAGTCTCTTCTGCTTCTGGAGACGCTGCGCGGCCGCGGCCGTACTTCGTACCGCTCCTTCAGCAGGTTCTTGGGCAGGCTCCTCCTCCTTGTCCTCCTCCCTCCGTAGAGTGTCCTCCGCCTGTCCAGCCGCAGTCACAGTTACCGCCTGCCTCGCCTCTCCCTGCTCCCTCTCCTTACACTGGTCCCACAGGAGGTCTTACAGAGCGTCGTGAGCCTGAGTCTCGTCCTGCGTCGCCTGTCCGTACTGCTCGCACTGGTCGTCGTGTCCGTCGTGAGCGTCCTCCTCCTGTCCCAGGCACTCACTACATGACTCTGCGTCCCTCTACTGCTCCTCAGCGTGTCCCT